GATAGGTCAGTTAACGTTGCCAGTGCCGATTTAGCTCTTTGGGAGATGGATGGTATTGATTGCCTGTCTGGGAAAGTTTGGGATGGAGATTTTCTAAGAGTGTCCGATTGTGATATACAACCAATTGAAGATGGAGAGCCCAAATTATTATTTTGAGGGCGTCGTGGAGGGTTCAAACGTCTACACCAAGGACACAGTAGATGATCTCGATGACAAGCAAGGACAAGGTTTCATGTCGGCTGATGATTTGGAAGAAATTGATATAGGTCCAGGTGATAGACCAAGACCGACATTTATCAGTAAGAATTTATCTCCAGAATTTAGAACCAAGTTGATAGAGCTTTTAAAAGAATATAGAGATTGCTTTGCTTGGGAGTATTATGAGATGCCAGGACTCAGCCGATCGATTGTCGAACATCGGCTTCCTATCAAAACCGGGGTTAGACCATACCAGCAACCACCGAGGAGGTGCAAAGCCGATATGCTTGAGGCTGTCAAGGCTGAGGTTGCACGTTTATATGATGCTGATTTTATTCGTCCATGCCGATATGCTGAGTGGGTTTCCAATATGGTTCCAGTTATCAAGAAAAATGGCAAAGTCAGGGTGTGCATTGACTTTCGTGATCTAAACAAAGCTACCCTGAAGGACGAGTACCCAATGTCAGTAGCCGATCAGTTGGTTGATGCTGCTTCGGGGCATAAGATATTAAATTTTATGGATGGCAATGCAGGATATAATCAAATCTTTATGGTAGAAGAGGATATTCATAAGACAGCTTTCAGGTGCCCTGGTGCAATCGGCTTGTTCGAGTGGGTTGTAATGACTTTTGGTCTGAAGAGAGCTGGAGCTACATATCAGAGGGCCATGAATTACATATTCCATGATTTGATCGGCTGGTTGGTTGAAGTTTATGTTGATGATGTGGTTGTTAAATCAAAGGAAATAGAGAATCACATAGCCAATTTGAGGAAGGTTTTTGAGAGGACTAGAAAATATGGCCTGAAGATGAATCCGACAAAATGTGCTTTTGGCGTATCAGCTCGCCAGTTTTTGGGTTTTCTTGTTCATGAGAGGGGGATCGAGGTGACTCAAAGGAGCATTAATGCAATCAAGAAGATTCAACCTCCAGAGGACAAGAAGAAGTTGCAGGAGTTGATCGGCAAGGTAAATTTTGTTAGGAGGTTTAATTCTAATTTGTCTGGCAGGTTAGAACCTTTTACGCTGTTGTTGAGATTGAAAGCCGATCAAGAATTCACCTGGGGGGCAGAGCAACAGAAGGCTTTGGATAACATTAAAGAGTATCTTAGTTCTCCTCCAGTTTTAATCCCTCCACAGAAGGGGATACCTTTCAGATTATATCTATCGGCTGGTGAGAAGTCGATCGGCTCAGTTTTGATTCAGGAGCTTTAGGGGAAAGAGAGAGCCGTATTTTATTTAAGCCGCAGGCTTTTGGATGCAGAAACAAGGTATTCTCCTGTGGAGAAGTTGTGTTTGTGTTTATATTTCTCTTGCACGAAGTTAAGGCATTATCCATTGTTCAATGAATGCACTATGATATGCAAAGCCGATGTGGTTAAATACATGTTACCGGCTCCAATTTTGAAAGGAATTGTTGGAAAGTGGATATTTGCTTTAACGGAGTTTGATCTGCGGTATGAGTCTCCGAAAGTGATCAAGGGACAAGCTATAGCCGATTTTATTGTAGATCATCGTGATGACTCAATTGGCTCGGTCGATATTGTGCCTTGGACTTTGTTTTTCGATGGATCAGTGTGCACTCACGGTTGTGGTATCGGCTTAGTTATAATTTCTCCTCGGGGTGCAAGTTTCGAGTTTGCCTATACTATTAAGCCTTATGCAACTAACAATCAGGCTGAATATGAAGCGGTTCTCAAAGGATTGCAGTTGCTCAAGGAAGTTGAAGCTGATGCTGTTGAAATTATGGGTGATTCTTTGTTGGTGATCAGTCAATTGGCAGGACAGTATGAATGCAAAAATGATACGTTGATGGTTTACAATGAAAAGTGCCGAGAATTGATGGATGGATTTCGGCTAGTAACTTTGAAACATGTGTCTCGAGAGCAAAATATTGAAGCTAATGATTTGGCTCAGGGAGCATCGGGGTACAAACCGATGACGAAGGATATCAAGGTGGAAATCGCTACTATATCAGCCGATGATTGGAGATATGATATTTTTCAATATTTGCAGAATCCATCTCAATCGACTTCTCGGAAGTTGCTCTATAAAGCTTTGAAATACACCTTGTTGGATGATGAGTTATGTTATCGGACGATTGATGGGGTGTTGCTTAAATGTTTGAGTGCTGATCAAGCCAAGGTTGCGATAGGCGAGGTAAATGAAGGAATTTGTGGAACTCATCAATCGGCTCATAAGATGAAGTGGTTGCTTCGGCAGGCAGGATATTTTTGGCCGACAATATTGGAAGATTGCTTCAGATATTACAAAGGATGTCAAGATTGTCAGAAGTTTGGAGCAATTCAGCGAGCACCGGCGTCGGCTATGAATTCTATTATCAAGCCAATGGCCATTCAGAGGTTGGGGAATTGATATGATCAGTATGATTAATCCACCTTCAAGCAAGGGACATAAGTTTATATTGGTGGCAACCGATTACTTTACCAAGTGGGTAGAAGCGATTTCTTTGAAGAAAGTTGATTCAGGGGATGCTATACAATTCGTTCAAGAGCATATTATTTACCGGTTTGGTATTCCTCAGACCATTACAACCGATCAGGGCTCGATCTTCATGTACCGATGAGTTTGTTCAGTTTGCCGATATCATGGGTATCAAATTATTGAATTCTTCGCCATATTATGCACAAGCTAATGGGCAAGCCGAGTCATCTAACAAGAGTTTGATCAAGCTCATTAAGAGGAAGATTTCTGATTATCCTCGGCAATGGCATACTAGGTTGGCCGAAGCATTGTGGTCTTATCGGATGGCTTGTCATGGATCAATTCAAGTTCCTCCTTATAAGCTTCTTTATGGACATGAGGCAGTTTTACCATGGGAAGTTAGAATCGGCTTAAGAAGAACAGAATTACAAAACGAATTGACAGCCGATGAATATTACAATCTCATGGCCGATGAAAGGGAAGATTTGGTCCAATCCAGATTGAAAGGATTGCTAAGCATTATAACAAGATGGTAGTCCCTAAGTCTTTTTCTGAAGGAGAGTTTGTTTGGAAGCTGATCTTGCCGATAGGAACTCGAGATAACAAATTCGGCAAGTGGTCACCGAATTGGGAAGGACCATTTCAAATCCATAAGGTTGTGTCCAAAGGAGCTTATATGTTGCAAGGACTTGATGGAGAAGTTTATGGACATCGCTCAATGGCAAGTACTTAAAGAAATATTATCCAAGTGTTTGGGTTAATGCATGATCGGTTGGGTGTTGCCGATACATGATAGCCGATGTGTTTGCATCGCCTTGAGATGGCCGATATAGTTATATCGCCCTTAGTTGTTTTCTTATTCATAATCGGTTGTGTTTTGCCGATGTATGATGGCCGATATAGTTATATCGCCCTTAGTTGTTTTATTATCTAATCAGTTGTGTTCTGCCGATGTATGATGGACGATATTTAATATATCGCCCTTAGTCCAAATTATAATTTTATCAATGCCTTCAGCTTTGCAAAATTAGGGGGGCACATATATACAAAAGTCGAGAATTTTTTGCGTAGAGAAATTTCAAGCAAATTGAGAAGTTATATTAATCGACACAAAGGACCAGTGACAATCAAAAGGAGTACCAACGTTTCTTAGCCGATCACAAAAATTTTCTAAGTCCTATTACAAAGATAATCATTCAGATAAGTAACGCTAGATAGCCGACACAGCCTGTTCTCTAATTTGATCTACTTCTTCAATAGCTTGGATGTCTTGGGCATCGGTTCCAGGAATGACCTTGATGGACTTGGTCATATCAGCCACATTCTTGATAGCCGATTTCAGTCTGGACTTCTGTTCTTCGACAGCATTTGGGAGATTGGCTAATTTTTGTTTTTCCAAATCCAGCTCGGCATTGCACTCTTGAAGTTGTGCTATGAGATCAATTTTGCGGGCCTCCAGCCGATCTATGTTAGACTGAATTGGCCCAACAGAGAGTTGATCAAGCTTGGCTTTCTCTTCATGTACAAGTTGCCGATTGGCTTTGGATAGTGGCTTCAATATCCTTTCGCTCTCGCCGATCGGCTATTCTCTGCTTGGCTTTGTCCAGCTTGAATTGATGCTGTTCGAGATATACAGCTGGAGAGATGGTGTTCGCCGAATCATCCGAGATTAGAGCTTGGATCTCTGCAAATCTTGCCTGGATTGAGCCACAGTCAGCCACCAAGTTATCCAATGATGACTCTAGCCGATGAGATATATCCTCAAGAGTTTTCTTGACATCTTCATTCAGAGGTGCTAGAGTTTTGCTTGTTGTCTCTTCTTCTGCCTCTTCACACTACAAGAGATCTTATGATAGGTGACGTTTCATTTACATCACAAACACATAAAATTTCGTCACGTTTTATAATCTGTGACGCTCGCGTGACGAAAATTCATTCGTCACCTATCATGCGTCTCTAATGGCGTTCTATGACGAAACCTTATTTTTTCGTCATTAATGTAGTGACAATCCTTCTGTCGTCGTAACTTTATGACGCTCATATTCGTCATTATCTAGCGTAAAAAAACGTCATAAAATGTATGATGGGCTGTCAAGAACCATGTAGTTCTCGTGGGCTAAGCCCAATTGTAAATCTCGTCAGCTTAAGGCCTAGCCCATCTACAATATAGCAATTTACACACTATTGGCCTGTTTAGGGCAATGTCATAAGGAACCTATTTATGGGCCAAATCCAATTACGTAGCAGTTTATACACTATTTCAGCCCAGTTCGCTAATCCATTTGTAGCATACTAGCAGTACCAAATACCAAGTGGGCCAAGCCCATTTCAAAAGACTTTACAAGCCCAATAAATCATATAGCACAAAAATTACAGCCCTTATAATAGCCAATAAAATCCAATGATCTTCTAATACAGTGCAAATATATATGGGCCAACCCAGCCACATGTTCAAATACAATCACAGGTTCACTGACCATGAATACATTATAGGTTAACTAGCCAAAACAAAATACATCGGCACATAATCAGGTTCAGTACATCAGTATATCACTCTGACCAAAACCAGCCAGTTATTGACTTTAACACATAATCACAAGTCAAAATACATATGCGCCAACCCAACCAAGTCCAAATACAATCTCAGGTTCACTTACCAAACGCAAAACCAAGTGTCGAAATCACACTAACCAAAATCCACTGCCGTCTCATCATGAATCATCAAGGCGACATGAGGAGGATTGACAAACCTTACCTCTGAAATTACATGTAAACAATTTATAAATACAAGACAAAAAATTGTAAACAAAACATGCCATCACAGTATGAAAGATTTTTTGTATACATAGTTAATGGGTTATATACAACAAGCAATCATTGTAAAGTTTTCTTATCCATAAAACTAGATGGTACCCCGAGCGTTGCTTCAGGATATTTACATCGACACTTTAGCAAAAGAGATATAAACAAGTAACTACGTTTGAACTTATAGGTTATTCTTGGAGATAGTATGGTAACTAAATTCTAACTATAATATATCAATGCATTTTTTATACATGCCCAGAATAGTGTATGGGCTGACCTGGAAATGATAAACACAGAAGAGTGAAGAATCCTAGTTTACATCCAAGTTTGATGGAAATAATATAATCCTAAGGAAATAGAATAAATAACTTCTTTTCAGTAGTAAACTAAAAATCTGTCAAATACTACAAACTAATAAAAGGATATGATGGATGTAATATGTTCAACAGTGAACAGGCAATAAACATTTCTTGAATTAAGAAAATGCATCAATGTTATATGGACTGTGGGGTCAAATATTTCTAGAAGGCAGTTTCTCTTTCCTAAGGATCATGGAAAGAAAAATCTAACATGTTATTCTGGTTACCTTCTCAAAGTATGTCTTTGGAGGAGCGATAACACCGCCAGCACCCATCACAGGTTCAGCAATGAAAGCAGCAATCTGAAAATAAAAGGGATACGGAATGCATCAGAGATTATTCAGCAAAATATAGGATATGGTCTTTTCTGATGGCATCAGAATAAGATTCTCCAGATTTAGGAGAACTCCCACTTTTCAGGGGAAATAACAACTGAAATCAACCAAGAACTCAACTACCTGAACCTATTTATCATTACACAAAGACAATGTTGCACAATCATAAATACTCCAGTTTATCTTTTAAGTAGGTTTGCATGTCTTTCCGATAGAAGATTCTATTAGAATTGCCTTACTTATATCACATTTTGTTCTTTATCTTGAACAGATGTAGCTTAGCTCTATCACACTTACAGAAAATACATCCATGTATACACTATCTACCACCACAACCATACAAAAGTAGCACTAATTAACTATAAGTTTCTGCAAATGGAAGTCTAAGCACTAACACGCATAAAAGAAACTAATTGAACCTGGAATAAATTAGCTTAGGCATATTAAAGCTGTGAGAGTTTGGTACAGCAAAATTTGTGAATTGATATAGCAAAATCGATCGGTTGAGTTAGTAGATGAAAAAAAGAATTCAGGTAGTAGACAAAGCAAAAATGCAACCTGAATTAGAGCATAGGCATAGCAAACGATTGGGCATATGCATAGCATGATGAGATAAAAATGCTATATGTTCATGTGACCAGGATTAAGAAAAAACAACACAGGAAGTTTTGGATTGAAGAATGAATTGCACATGTCTCACCTAAGCCAGCACATGTCTTCACCATTCTCATCTGCTCTCACCATCACCTATTGAAGTAGACAGTCAACATGGTCAGATCAGCCTACAAAGCATAAGTTGAGAATTGGAGAGAAGAGAACGAACGTGTAGAACTAAACCAAATCAAATGCAGCATGGATCTTAAACATATATAATACAGGATCTTATAGTAGGCAATGGCATGTAAGCACAACTACATACATATATATAATATATGGATCTTATAGTAGGCAATGGCATGTAAGCACAACTACATACATATATATAATACAGATTATAAACCAAGAAACTGAAGGAAAGAAGGAATGAATTAACTCGAAATGGAACTCAAACCATGAGCAGCAAAATGCCTCTGCCATCTCAGATCTGGAAGCTGCTGCTTCCAATAAAATGCAGGAGCACACCAACACCCACCCTCTCTCATTCAACCATCCATTTCTTGGTGCCACAACCCACAAACAGCAAACGAACATGATCAACAGTAACGGAGAAGAAACAGAGGAACATTTCTACTAGAGTACTACTGAATGTAAAGAAATGAAAGGTTATTCACAAGTGGAGAAACAAAAGGAAAAGGGAAAGGAAGAACCAAACAGAGCAAGAGAGAAAAAAGAAGAAGAAACATTGCATGCTAAAACTTTGGGGGAGGTGATGAAAGGAACTGTACGAGATTCCAGCCAAAAAAACCTATGAATTCAGACCATAGAGCATTTCTTGAATTACCTCAGAACCTATGAATTCAGACCATGGAGCATTTCTTGAGGTCGCTAGACGGCTGGGAGGAGGTGCGGCGCGGCGCGACTTGGCCGGCAGTGACGCCGGTGCCTCGACAGCTCGCCGCTTCCGCGCTCGATGGGCGCGCGAGAGGAAGGGGTGGGTGCCGCTTGCCCGCGCCCTGCAGCTTGGCGGTCCCCCACCGGATAGCCTCCAGCTCCAACGCCGCTGCCATGCTGCCGGCCGCCGTCGCGTGGCACCACGCCGCCGACCCGGCCCTGCCGCCGCCGCCGACGCAGCACCCCAGCCACGCTCCAGCGGCGGAGGCGGAGGCGAGCGGCAGCCGCGGCACACGGTGATATTTTCTCTCCGAAGGGGACGGTGGCGGCTGGTTTCGATGGATTTGGGACTTGGGATCAGCTAGGGTTAGGGGAACCAGCGTGGGGTATGAAGCAATCGCAACGCGGTTTTACCAAAATGGCCCTAGTGCGCCCACATTAGTTACTGAATTGTTTGGACAAAACGGTCTATTCACCTTGAAAATTTTTCGCTTGACCGCGCAGTGGATTGACCGCAAACATTTTGCGTCTACAAAATTTTGGCTCCCGCCCCACCAAAAATTTGGCGCCGCGGTATCTTTCTTTTTGGAAAAAAAACGAACTATATGCAAAAATAATTACTATAGCAAATAAACAGTATATTACAACATAAATATATTTTTAATAAAATGAAGACATTTGGTTAAAATGGGTGATAATGTTACCATTTTTTTGAAATGGCATCCAAAACAAGTTACAAGAGCAAATGAACATTATATTCCTACATAAATATTTTTCATATATGTGGTACTTTTTAATTTCAAATTATGAGGACTTTAAATTTAATTTTAGGTTGATTTTTGTGTTTCAAATACAAAAATCATAAATAACAAAATTGTAGAACTCATCGAGATCTACAACTATTGTATTGGTCCTTTTTACAATTAAGTTCATTTGAACAATTCAAATTTTGACAACTTCAAAAAAAATTGGGGTTAATAAATGATTTCAAATGGAAAGGGCACTAAAACCAAAGTTGTAGAACTCGTCGAAATACAAAATTTTAATTTTGGTCATTTCTTCATCTGACTCTATTTGAACAATTTGAAATTTGAAATTCAAAGCTTGAGAACTTCAAATAGAATTTTTTATCGGTGAACGATTTCAACTGAAAAAGTCATCAATAAAAAAGTGGTATAACTCATCAAGATCTATAACTTTTATTTTGATCATTTTTTCATCCGACAAAGTGTTTTGTAACATTGTTCATAAAATATACATATCTCTTATATAGTTTATAAACTACAGGAGATATATGTAAATTATATGAATATTGTTATTATCACTTTGTCGGATGAATAAATGACGAAAATAAAAGTTATAGATATTGATGAGTTATACAACTTTGTTATTGATAACTTTTTAAGTAGAAATCATTTAGTACTTGAAAATATTGTTTGAAATTGTCATAATTTGAAATTCAAATTCAAATTATTGAACACAAAGTTATATAGTAAAATGACCAAAACAAAAGTTGTACATATTGATGAGTTATACAACTTTATTGTTGATGACTTTTTCATTTGAAATCATTTAGTATTTGAAAATATTGTTTGAAGTTGTCATAATTTGAATTTCAAATTCAAATTAGTGAAACAAAGTTATATAGCAAAATGACCTAAACAAAAGTTGTAGATCTTGATAAGTTGTACAACTTCATTGTTGACAATTTTTTCATTTTAAATTATTTACTACCCGAAAAGTTATTTGAATTGAGTAGAGAGAGGTAAAGTGGACTTCTCGGCGAGGGAGGAGCACTGGGCCGGCGGCCCGAAGAGGTAGGAGGAGGGAGAGAGAGGCTGCGGGCTGAGGGAGGGAGAGAGTAATACTTGGGCCGAAAAAGGCCCATGGACAAAGAGAGGAATTTTAATTTGTTTTTTATTTATTTTAATAGGTTAAATAAACTTTGTGGTATTAAAATTAGTTATTGAGCTCCGAAAATTCATGGAAAATTTTAAAGAATAATTTAGACCATGTAGAATATTAAAAAATATTTCCGGCCATGATTTTTAAAGGAAAATTTTAGTTACCTCATTAATTCACTTGATTAAATTGCTTTAACTTTTAATACTCCCTCCATCCCATAATATAAGGCGTGCACGTATTTCAATATTCAACTTTTAAGCATTTGACCAACACTTAGGCTGTGTTCGCATGCACCTTTTCCCATCCCCTCTCCTTCGTTTTCCACGCGCACGCTTTTCAAACTACTAAACGGTGTGTTTTTTGCAAAAAGTTTCTATACGAAATTTGCTTAAAAAAAATCAAATTAATCCATTTTTGAAAAAAAAAATTAGCTAATACTTAATTAATCACGTGTTAATGGACCTCTCTGTTTTCCGTGCACAGGAGTTAGGTTCCCATCTCCCCCATCCGAACTCAGCCTTAGTATAATATGAAATGAAGTTTATTTGTTAAAAATTACATCATTAGATTGACATTTAAATTTACTTTCATATGGTTATAATTTTGTTGCTGCAAATCTTATAGTATATAAGAAATTATAAGCTAGATTAGTTTTAGAGACTGTGCAAACTTTGACCGCGTATTATATTATGGGATAGAGGGAGTATATTTTTCTAGAAATGCATTATATATATCTATGACGTTTGCTTTGTGCCCCTTATGACAAATTAATATTCGTCACGATGTCCCATTGAAATACTTTATGATGATTTCTAGTTGGTATTAACGACGAACACCTTTTTTTCGTCACTAAGGCACCCCATCTCATACTAATCGTCATAAAATTGAATGTGCTAATGACGAATAGCTCCGATGTCACGAGGAATTTGTCACAGAAGGTCATATTTCTTGTAGTGTCATCAAAGTAATCCTTGATGTCAAAACAGAACAGATCGGCTAAGACCTGCAAGAGAGACCATTGAAGACGATTGAATATCAAAGTAGATTATATAGCCGATCTAAGATTTATGACAATGGAAAGCTTACTGGGATAGCAGGAGCGGCTGGTTGTTCCTCTTCCTCGATATTGTGGCTGCCTGTAGCCGATGGAGTACGGTCACCTGGCATCGGCTGCACAGGAGGTGAAGGAGGAGGAGGGGGCTGAAAAAGACAAGTATTAAGTAACGTCGGTTATGATCAGATTTAGAAGATTTTTACAGAGAGAATCTTACCGGTGGAGCTGGTTTAAATGTTGTTGGTGCCGATTTCTTCTTCACGGCAGTTTTCTTTTTCTGCAAACATAAGACTTATAAGTGATCGGCCGTATGAATAATCGCAAGAGATAATCAAGGTGAGTGATTTACCCTTGAGAAGTGAGCCGGAGCAGCAGGAGTTGAAGGAGTCTGTTTGGGAGAACCCGATGGTGTTTTTTCTAAGTCACTCACTTTGGCTGCAGCTTGATCGACATCTTCCTTGATCTCTTCCTCGTCAATAGCTTACTCTATGGATGGATCTAAGGCAGGTAGATCATCGGTTGGCTTGGATTTCTTCTTAGCCTTTTTCTTTGGAGCCAGAGCCGATGGATCAGCAACCTATGCCTTGGTCTTCCTCTTCCTGCCAGCATCGGCTGGTTCTCTTGTCTGCCCTTGGAGTTGACTTGAGGTCCTGGGGGCATGATAGCCGATGACAGGGGGAGCTAACCCACCTCCGTTTGGGATAAGGCCCGGAGCATATTGTCACAGTCTGATTTTCGTTTCAGGATTTATAAATAATTTAATAAATTATTAAAAGAATTTATATTAAATGTTCATTAATTTACAAGTGAAGTTAAACGTGGGAAATAAAATTTCCTAAATATAAAACATGGTTGGATTTAATTTTTATTAAATTCTCCATGATTAATTATACTCTCTGAAATTTTCTCGGATTTTTCAGAGCTCAATTCCTAATTTTAATAATACAAAGAATATTTCAGTAATTATTTAATTAATAAATTAATCATTAAATGGTCTGGTTTTAATATTGTTAAATACTTTTGAGTGTCCAAGTATGTTCAAGATTTTTCTTGGAATTATTTGAGCATTGAAAGTATTTTTAACAATTGAAAGATCATCTCATTGGTTAATTTATTTGGAAAAGTAATAAAAATTCTCCTCCTCAGCTTGGGCCGAATTCAGCCCATTCCCTCCTATTCCCTCCTCTCCTCTCAGCCGGCAGAAAAGTCTGATTTACCTCCCTGGCGCTACAGTACTCCATCTTCCTCCTCCAGACAGAGCCGAGCCAGCCGTGCTCGTGCACAGTGCCGCCGCCTCCTCCCACCAATCCGACCTCCCCGTTGCTCCTCTTTCCAAATTAGTTGCGGGAATGGAATCCCCTAAATCTCCTCTTCCTTTTCCCCAAGAAATCCCCAAAATTTTCTATGGAAATTCTTTCCAATTTCGCGGATCAAATCCTTCCTTTTTCCGGCGAGAACCCTAGACTTTCCCGAGTTTTTCCCGTCGTTGTGGGCTTGATCCCGAGCTCCCGTGCCTATATAAAGGACCCCCTAGTCGTCCTCTACCTATCCCCTCAAGTCCCATCTTCCGCCGTCGCCGGAATCGCTCTCCCCGCGCTCTCCCTCTCTCTCCACCTCCGGCCGCCGCTCCAGCCGCCATTCGGCGTCGCCCCGGCCGTCGCCGGTCAGTGCCGCCACCTCCCTCGGCTTCGCAGTGAAGAGCTCTACCCCGGCCACCCGTTCTTTTGCGCCGAACCCCGCCGGAAGTCGCCGTCACCGTGAAGGCCGAACCGTTGCCATGTTTTGATCTCCGGCGAAGCTTTGCCGTCGACTCCGTGGTCGCCGGACCTCGCCGTGTCCACTGTCAGCATCGCAGCAGTGAGGAGAAGCCCGGCAGCCATCTCCCCGAAGCCGAAATCCACCAGAGCTCCATCGTCGCCGTCAACCCGAAGCTCGCTGTCGCGTTTTGATCTCCGGCGAAGCCCTGCTGCTCCTCCCGTCATCGCCAAGCTTCGCCGCTGCCTCCATTGGATTCGCAGCTGCGAAGTGAAGCCCGGCCACCCCTCCGTTGTCGCTGCACATCGCCGGAAAGTCGTCGCCTCCGTGGACAGTACCTCGTCGCCCTTCGAAGCTCGTCGCCGGCCATCTTCCGTTGCCGTTCGTCGTCGCATAAGTGGTGGTAAGGGTCACTTTGATCCCCTCTCGCTCCCGGTGCCCTCCGTTTGCGTTATTGTGCCGTGGTTCGCCGGCAACCGCCGCTCCCATGCCGTTCCCAGTGTAGTTTATCCCTAGGGTCTTAATCCCATCTAATCTAATCTAATCTTGTTTGGACCTAGTGTCGTCGTCGTCTCCATGTGTTGCCGCCGGTTCACCGTCGTCATCTATCTCTCCCCGATTGGTTCGGTGGGACGTCTATCCGTGTCTCCTTG